GTGTCTGTAATGCTCCATCAAGTTACACATTATGTAAACTATATTCAAATATTACAGCTACGCCTAAAAGTTACCAAAGTAGCAAACAGAAATAAGTATCTAAATTACCTATTTTTACAAAAATGTGTCCACTTTTCCTGAATTCACCCCATGTTAAATCTGAACCAGGCCCTGATCTAAAATCAACCACAAACAAACAAGTATCAAATATTAGAAATTAATTTAGAGATATCTTCTTTGCACTAAATCAGCCAGAAGATTTGTGTGGGGTTTAATGTGCTGGCAAACTTTTAGTGAGTGTCGATGAATATCGGTGTTTATCAAACCTCAAGTCTGAGTTTCTGTGTAACCTCATGCTAGAACAGTTAAAACAGAAAGCCAAATGTGACTTCAGTTCATATAGAGTTCTGCAAAAACTGACAAACCTTGAGGACCTTCTAAAGGAAATGTGAATTGGGTTTGTGTGGCAAATCGATGGGTTAAAATGCATCCCCGTACTGGTCAAGAGCAACAACATGCTAATCGAGTTGCTAGCATCATGCTAACATAATTATTTTCTGATCATGGCTTGGACTTCCGAGGGTCAAAGTAAGTACTATAATAACAAGCTATTATTAAACTATTCTACAAGCAAAATAGATGCCTACTTAAATATTTTAAAATTAATAAGTAAAGGTTTTTTACCTACAAGGAGTGAGTAAGCTCTCTAATATCGGCCCAATAGAGTAACATTAATCTATTTTGCCCACAAGATCTGTTGTGGATAAAGGCTAAATTATAATCAAACTTGACAACCGAGACAAATATAGACGTTTTGCGTTGTATTTTTTAGCTACAATGTCAAATAAAACAAAGCCAGGAATTAATATAAACCTCTGCATAAACAGATGACAGTTGAGCTGAGTGGTTTGACACAATTCAGCAATCTACACATGTTTGTTGAATAATATGCAATAAACTATGTATCATATTTCTGATAAATAAGATAAATAAAAAACCAAAGATACTATTAAACATACCTTATTCCTCTTCGCGGTGGAGCTGAAAAAATGTATAATCTGTAAATCCTGCATTTTGCATCCTGACACGAGTTTGAACATGTCTCAGTCATTCCTCAGTATTGCATAGTAAATGATCTTAGCCTATCGTTTTCAAAATAAAAGTCCTATATATTCAAGTTAAACTTAAACTTTAATAATAAGGGAGGAAAATGATCTTTGTTTTTTCAAAACAGTGTGGCTTGTCAATTACAGCCTGAAGTGTGCATATTAACGATCCCAGAGCAATATCTCAATCTGTGTTTTGGCTGCTAATCTGGTCTGGTTTATGTATAACCCCAGAAAACATTTGGATGTCTGATTACTGTTGTAAAGAAGTCCCTCCTTCACATCCTGTTATGGTTGAAAAATAGTTCCAAAAAAAAATCCAATCGACTTATTGCACGTCATTTGGCCGTGAATCACATGTCTTTTCTGCACGGTCCGTGCACGTCTAAACATATCATTTGTATGTTAATATGTGTCTCTGATTAATCCAGGCCTAAACATGTATATAAAACAGCCTAGTTCATACCTTTATAATAGGCAGTTAGTTAAGGTTCTTAAAACAAGGGTGGGGGAGGGGGTTTGGATGGTTTGAAAGACTCACCGCTCACTGACAAGCGTCCAGAATTTGTCCCATACATGAGCTCATTTGTCCTATTTTGACCACTATGCCATCATAGATAGTGAAAATAACCCATTGATAAAGGTTTTAAAGTCCCCGTGAACTGGAAGCTGAGATCTGTTTTTCTTTTCTAATGTAATGCCGTTCCTAAAGAAAATACATTTTAAATGAGCAAACAGTGGGCGTGGCTTGTTTTTTCTACCGAGGGCTGATTGGATGTTGTAAAGTAGGCATTCAGAAAGATTGGTTAATGGGTTTTAGAAGAGTAAAGCTGCGGTCACACTAGAGTTTCAAAATGTAAAATTCTGTCATGTTGTGCTGCGAAAAGGGGCAGGATTAATCAAGATAATTAGACATTAAAAAAAGCAAGCGATTGCTCTGTTTTAAACTTCTGTCCAGAGAGGTCATGTTTAAATCCTCGATTGGGCTCAAGCAGTCAAGTTATGCGATTTTGCAGGTCAGAGTTCACCAAGCTTGAACTTTGCACTGCAGCGACCTGCGAAACTTGACGCATGACCGCGTTTCCGGTGTGACCCATTTGAGTGCATGTAAATGGAAGTCAACAGGGAGAAAAGTCCAGTGTGACCGCAGCTTTATTATAACCTATACAGACACCTCCTCCTCACCATTTCTGCCTGTTGTCAAAACTGACAGTTGCAGCAGCGTAAGCCACGCCCATTACCTCAAAACCACTTAATCTGATAAATGAACTGAAAATAAACAGGAAGTTCATTTTCAGATTTCAATTAAAGATTAGAAGGGCCAACTATTTTTCTCTTAAAGACACACAGATGATTTGTTCACCGGAATGTGAGCTAACAAAATCATATGATTAGTTTGATTTCTTGGGGACTATAAGACCAAGTGGAATCCTGTTTTGACTGTTGCTTCTTTGTGACTGAGGAAAGATGAATGTGCTGGCCAGTTTGTTATTTGCCTAATAAATGGTAATTGCCTAGTTATTTTTTTCTTTTTTACTTAAATAACCAATAAAACATGCAAATAAAAAAGTTTACATATAAAACCTAAGCATTAAAATACTAAAACTCTACTTACACAATAGCAAAAAAGCAACCTTGCTTGTCCTCCTCTGCCTGCAAAGTAGGTAAATGTTAGGTAAATGTTATTTTAAAAAAGTGGTTACTTCTTCTTGTGCTTTTTGGTGGACTGGCAAACCAAAAGGTAAATTTCCACCACCTAGTGGTCTGGAGTGAAATATTCTGGCGCTCTCACACGATCATAATGAGACTTGTACAAGATCTTGACAGCACAGTTTTGATCTACATCCAACTCAGACTTAAAGTGAAGCCTGAAGAAATTAATATTTTCTATGTATATATGCTTTAATAATAATAATAATAATAATAATAATAATAATAATAATAATCGTATACAAAAAATAAAGTTCCTGATTATTACTATTATTTGGTGGCCTATTCACAAATCACGCAGGGCATTTCCAAGTGTAAGTACACTACCTGACAAAAGTCTTGTTGCCTATCCAAGTTTTAGGAACAACAAATAATAAGTTGACTTCTAGTTGATCATTTGGTATCAGAAGTGTCTAATATGAAAGGCAAAGTCCTCAAGATTACGCTTATTTTACCAAAATAAGTATGATTATGACTTGATTTTTAATTATTTAAATGATTATTTATTATTAATTAAATTAAATTATAACAAATAAGACTTTCTCCAGAAGAACAAATATTATCAGACATACTGTGAAAATTTGATTGCTCTGTTAAACATCATTTGGGAAATATATATATAAAAAAAAAAGTAAAAAAAAAGGGGGGAAACATTTCAAAGTGGGGCTAATAATCTAATAATTTTGACTTCAAATTCAAATTGAAATACTACAGCCTGACCTAAAATTTTACAAAAGATATAACAGGATAAATAAGTGACGGCCTACTTTACCTGAAAATAAGTTTGTCCGTACTGCTCGATCTTTAAATGTTTATAAACCATACAAATAACACATTATTTATTTTAAAATTAGTGATGGCTCACTTTACCTAAAAAAAATGTTGTCTGTTGGGCCCGATCTTAAAATGTTTTTCTAGGTATAACCCATTCAAATAGCACTTTATTTAATGATAAATTAATAATGGCCCACTTTACCTGAATAGAAATTTGTCTGTTGTGCTTAATCTTAAAATGTTTATAGGTATAAACTGCAAATAACACTTTTATTTAAATAATTTAATAATGGCCCACTTTACCTGAAGAGAAATTTGTCTGTGGTGCTCGATCTTAAAATCTTTATAGGTAACCATTCAAAAAGCACATTATTTAATGATAAATTAGAGACGGCTCTCTTTACCTGAATAGAAATGTGTCTGTTGTGCTCCATCTTAAAATGTTTATTGGTATAAACTGCAAATACCACATTTTATTTTGATAATTTAGTGATGGCCCACTTTACCTGAAGAGACATTTTGTCTGTAGTGCTCAATCTTAAAATGTTTTTTGGTTCAAACCCTGCAAAGAACAAATTATATACACCATATTCAAATTGAAATACTACAGCTCGACCTAAAATTTAACAAAAGAAATAACAGAAATACATCTAGGCTTACATATCTTTTTAGAAAGTCACCCACTTTACCTGAAGTCACCCTGTGTTAAATCTGACCACCAAGCCCTGATCTAGAATCAGCCTTAGTTACAAACAAACATATCTTAAATATTGGCAACTTTTGCACTAAATTAGCCAGAAGATTTGTGTGGGGTTTAATGTGCTGGAAAACTTTTAGTGAGCGTCAACGAATATATCAAAACGAATATCGGTATTTATCAAATCTTAGGTCTGTGTTACTACGTAACTTCATGCTAGAACAGTTAAAACGGAAAGCCCAAATGTGACTTCAGTTCATACAAAGTTCTGCAAAAACTGAGAAACCTTGAGGACGATGTGTTTATTTTTATGGCTCAGAGTACTAAATAGTTTATTTATAAAAGTTCACACATTTTTTTGCTTTGTTTCTTATAATCCCCATTTTCCTCATTCCCCAACAGCTCAATTTTCTCCGGGCTCAAAAAGATATGGTTTTAATATTATAGATTTCCACATTCTACACTACATCATTTTTACAGTGATTAAACAAACATGTTAAATACATTTTGGTAGGGGTTTAACAACTTTGAGCACATTTTGTGTGAAAACAGACGTGGCTTGGAAAAACAACAAAACGTAGGAGGTCAATGAAATTGAAGCACACATTTTACATCTTTCTTTCTAACTAATTGCGTTTTTAATCTGCCTGCTCATTAATAGAGATAACGTGACGGAATCAGCAACCCTCCCCTCATCAACCACACCAGCCTTATCTGTGAGCCAGAAAATGAGCAGTCCGCCCTGCCCATGGATGTCCACCACAACTACCCTTGCCCCTGCCACCACCGCCATCACCACGAGAGCCAAAACCACCCCTTTGCCAAAACCTAAACAACAAATTGACAGAAGTTCCATTCCTGGCCGTAAGTTCTGCTGTCATATAATTATAGTTAAGAAAATTGAGCCTGATCTCACAGATGGATGAAAATGACAGATGGATGGATGTAAATGCGGAATGGATGTAAATGACAGATAAATGTAAATGATGAATGGATGGATGGATTTAAATAAGGAATAGATGAATATAAATGACTGGATGTAAATGAAGGATGGATGGATGGATGGATGGATGGATGGATGGATGGAAGGATGCACATGACAGGATGTAAATGACAGATAAATGTAAATGATCAATGAATGGATGGATATAAATAAGGGATGGATGAATGTAAATGACAGGATGGAAATGACCAATGGATGGATGGATGAAAAAGACAGATGGATGGATGTAAATGTTGGATGGATGGATGAAAAAGACGGATGGACGGATAAATGGAAATGACGCATAGATGAAAATTCCAGCCTGATCTCACATGGAAACGTAAATATTTTACAATTTGTCAGTTTATTGGCTAATTACTGATTAAGTACAAATTTAGTCATATAAAAAAAAAGTAAGATTTTTAAAAGAAGGTGTGACAACAACCCCCACTCCTGAACCCTACGTTCATTGTGGGACAAACTGTACAGCGTAAAATGTACGAATGAGACTGTACGATTTAGCCACTAAATAATAAAAGTTATGAATTGCAGTGAGATAGCGTTGGATTAATGGACAATGGATGGATGGATGAATGTAAATGACAGATGGATGGATGTAAATGAAGAATAGATGCATGTAAATGACAGATGGAGGGAGAAAAATGACTAATGGAGGAAATCGAAGGTTGGATCGATAAAAATGATGGATTAGAATGATGGAAATGACGGATAGATGGACATGACAGATGTATGGATGGATGAATGGGAGGGAATGGATGGATAATATATTAAACAAATCTAAATATATACAAATTTATTGCAAAAAAAATTTATTACACTTTATTATACATTAATAAATGACACTGTATTATGTCACCAACAGCTGCAGCAGTTCTTATAACCTGTTGCTTTGCCTTCATTGACTTTACAATACCATACAACAAAATTGTAAGTGCTTTGAGGACAAGTCCCCGCTGTGCTGCTAAAGCCATTGTGTAAGTATTTCACTCAACAAAATGTATGTTGAGAACTTGTCTAGAGCTTCTTTTGAAGATGGCATTGTGTAAGTGTTTCCCTAAAAATAAACAAACAAACAAACAAACAAAAACCATTCTTTTAATTTTATTCTTTAAAATGGCAATTTTAAAAAAAAAGTTTGTGTATGATTTTCATGAACAAAGTCTGCACTTTCCCCCTCAGGGTTACGACTCCTAGAACCCAGTTTTGTGTGAAACCAAATGAATTATGGATAAAGGCTGTAATGGAAAAACAGCTTCAGAAATGAAACCGCAACACAATACTGTGCACAATATAATACTGTTACTGCTTAATGCAACTGTCCTTTCTTACTTTATTCAAAATGTATTTTTTCAAATTCTCCTAAATAATACAGAGTGTTTTGATTTTGTGCTCAATTAATGCAAATAAACAAAAAAACATGCACAGATTATGTCATTTGAATGCATATTAATATAGTATAGTACAGTATTCATACTTATCAGTGTGGTTTATTATTTTATAAAGCAGAAATAAGAGTAAGAAATGTAACATCAAACAGATTCAACGTGTGCTTCTAGGTCAAGGGGACTGTTTTTGATATTTTAGTTGAATAAGGATTCATGTAACATGAACAATACTTGTACAGGATTTATTATTAATCATAGTTCAACATTTACTAATGCATCATTAAAATCAAAAATTCATTAACATTAATTGCATTGTGATAGCGATGTGTGAATGAGAGCTAACATGAACTAACAATGAACAACTTTATTTCCATTAATTAACTTTAACAAAGAATAAATATTGTAATAAATCTACTGTTCATGTCATGTTCATGTATTAACATTATACAACCATATTACATTTTTTTTAATGATGATTCTTTTAGCTGTGAACAGTGTTTCTGGAAAATACAGATGCGTTTTAATCATTAGAGGTGGCCCACATTACATGAAAAGAAAAGAAAAAAGTCTGTAGAGCTCCCACTTGAAATGTTTATTGCTATAAATCCAGTAAATAACACATTATTTGATGGTAAATTAATGGTGGCCCACTTTACCTGATAAGAAATTTGTCTGTAGAGCATGATCTTGAAATGTTATTGGCATAAACCCCGAAAACAGCACATTATTTAATGATAAATTAGTGATGACACTTTACCTCAAAAAGAAATGTCTATAGTGCTCTGCCTTTAAATGTTAATTGGTATAAACCCTGCAAATGCCACGTAATTTAATAAGAAATTAGTGACGGCCTACTTTACCTGAAAATAAATGTGTCTGTAGTGTTTATTCTTTAAATGCTTATGGATATAAACCCTGCAAATAGCACATTATTTAAACATAAATTAGTGTTGGCCCACTTTATCTTAATGAAGAAATTTGTCTGTACTGCTCAATCTTGAAATGTTTATTGGTACCTGCAAATAACACCGTACTTAATGATAAATAGTAGTGTTCCACTCTATCTAAAAAAATAGAAACTTGTCTGTTCTGCCTGATCGTGAAAGGTTTATTGGTATAAAACCTGTAAATAGCACATTAGTTAATGATAAATTAGTGACGGGCTACTTTACCTGAAAGTAAATTTGTACTGCTCAATCTTGAAATATTTATAGGTTTAAACCCTGCAAATAACACATTATTAAATGATAAATTAGTGGCGGCCCACTTTACCTGAAAAATTGTCTGTACTGTTTGATCTTGAAATGTTTATTGATATAAACCTACAAATAACAAACTATTTAATGAAATTAAAAGAAAAGAACAATAACAATAAAAAACTATATTTTAAACAAAAGAACAATATCAGCAAAAACTGAAACCTGCTCAAATTTCCTTGACTTTCAAATCCCAGTCAACAAAATATTGAGTGCCGTGAAAAAAAGTTCACATTGCGCTTTAAATGGCATCATGTGAGTATTTCCCCTGAAAGATATACATATGCTGAGACCTTGTCATAAGCTTCTTTTAAAAGGTAGAACTACAATATAAAATAATTTGAGCATACATCATTCCATAAGTTCCCCTCAAGGTTAAAACCCCTAAAACTCAATTTTGTGTGAAACTAGATGAAGACTGGATAAGGCCCATAATGGAGAGAAAACTTCAGAAATGAAAATGCAGCACAAATATAATAGTCATTGCTTTAAACAAATGTATTTTCTTATTAAATTTTTTTTCTCCCTATATTCTCACAAACAACTCAAATGTTAAAATCTAATTTCACAGTCAAAGCTAAAATAAATTCAAATGCACCAAGATAATCTGGCGTCTGTCTCGAATCTCTCAATGTGGTTTCATAAACACTGATAAGAACAGACAACGCAACCATTATCAGCATTTCATGTTTAATAATGTACAGTTAGACAGAAAGAATAACAGATGAAGATAACGTGAAGGAAACAAAAGAAACTTCGGAATTCAAAAACCGTATACATATACAAAAAAGCAGAATAATAATAATAAAACAAACATGTCTAGAGTCATGTTCAAGTCTGCTATTTAAAAAAAGTAGAGTGGTTTAACAAAAAAATCATTTTTATTCAGAATCTAAAATCCCTCTGTGTGGTTTGACCATCCACGACAGGAAGAACTGAGTGTTCAAACTTGCATAAAGACACACCTGCAAATTATATCATATTATACCATCACATGAGGCGTAAAGGCTGTTTATTGCCCTTTAGATTGAGAGTTTTGTGCACGAGTTTCAATCTAAACCATCCATAAAAAAAAAAATAAGGGAGCGCTTCTCATTTACACCTGCAAAGTAAAACCAGTTGGGGTATGGCTAAAATTAACATCTGTTCATATACATACTGAAGCCCTGATCCAGGACCAGCCCTAAAACGTATATTAAGTCAAAACAAACTGGTCTCGGATCAGTTTAGGAACAGATTGAGGAACATCGGTTCACAATTTTTAAAGTAATAATAAAAACATGAGCAGACAAATGCCGAAACAGTCCGCAAATTTAAGGCAGAGCGTTCGAGCAACATCCTAAAATATTATCGTAATTATTTCATACTCATCCATATTAATACAAATAAAAAAATCCACTATTAATGTTGACAATCATGCCGTTTTTATAGAACACCATCTATGGTAGGGACACAATTATCTACGTACACAGCCAGAGAATGGGTTTAAAAAACATGGAAAACTGTTATTGTTATAATTTAGCTGTGCAATATTGTTAAAACGGATGTTTATGACCCCAAGGAAACACACACAGTCCATAAAAAACATCACTCGGTAGCTTTGCTCGTCAATGCATACGTGCCTAACCATGTACATGCTCGCTTTCACTTTCTTATTCTCCATCACACACACATTCAAACCTACCGTGACTCCTTCAAACATCCAGAAACAGTCATAAATTATTACAAATACTATGTTTTGATGGAGTGTTGGTCAATATGCTCATTATTGTTTATATGCTTATACGGGGAATGTGCTGTAATATTATGGGAAACCAGAAGAGGGCGATGAAGTTGTGTGTGGTTGTGACTGTAAAGGTTTGATTATATTTAAACTGTACAGTAGCACTCGTGCATGCGTTTCTTCTGGGGTCATAAAACATCTGAGCATCAAAACAGATGCAAGGAGTTTGTGGTTTTAAGAGGAATGGAACTTCATGACGACTTTAAAAGATTTTTCCTTTTTTCTTGTTCTTTTCCATTGTCCTGAAAAGAAAGACAGAGAAAAACAAGAATATTAGGAAGAGATTAGAAACCATTTTAAAGAAATATGACATGAATGTTTAGTTATAGTAGTTAATGTTGTAGAATAAATGTAGTGTGTAAATAAATGTTTTGATTTAAGAAATACATTTAAAAATAAAATAATGAATATATAATTAAATATATATATATATATATATATATATAATTACTTAAAATCAGATTTATTTATTATATTTATAAATGCATAAAATGTTTATTTTTAAATATAATAAATAAATATGATTGTAAGTAATTATATAATTAAGTATATTATTAATAATAATATATATAATATAATGATTTTAAAAAGTAATAAATATATAATGATTTTAAATAGTAATTAATTATGATATAATTATTAATTATTTTTATTACACTAGATATTACAAGAAATCAATACTTTTAATCAGCAATTTCACATTAAATTGAACAAAGTGACATTTTTCACAATTAAAAAATACTTTTGAACTTTTTTATTCATTAAAAACTCAGATTTTTGAAAAAAAAAATCTGTTTAAAAAACTATTAAAGAGTAGATCTGCTTTCAAAATGAATAATAGGAAAAGCAATTTGAGCTCAAATCTAACTTCTAAAATGTTTTTGTAATGTTTGACTGAATGTACACTCACTGGCCACTTTATTAGGCACACCTAACTAGTACCGGGTTGGACCCCCTTTTGCCTTCAGAACTGCCTTAATCCTTCGTGGCAAAGATTCATCAAGTTACTGGAACTATTCCTCAGAGATTCTGGTCCATTTTAACACGATAGCTTCACGCAGTTGCTGCAGATTTGTCGGCTGCACATCCATGATGTGAATCTCTCGTTCCACCACATCCCAAAGCTGCTCTATTGGAGTCCATTTGAATACAGTGAACTCATTGTCATGTTCAAGAAACCAGTCTGAGATGATTGGCACTTCATGACATAGGGCGTTATTCTGCTGGAAGTAGCCATGAGAAGATGAGTACACTGTGGTCATAACGGGATGAACATGGTCATCAACAATACTCAGGTAGGCTGTGGTGTTGAAATGATGTTCAATTGGTACTAATGGGCCCAAAGGGTGCCAAAAAATTATCCCTTTCACCATTACACCACCACTATCAGCCTAAACCGTTGATACAAGGCAAGCTGGATTCATGTTGTTGATGACAAATTCTGACCCTGTCATCTGAATGTCGCAGCAGAAATCGAGACTCATCAGACCAGGCAATGTTTTTTCAATCGTCTATTGTCCAATTTTGCTGAGCCTGTGCAAATTGTAGCCTCCGTTTACTGTTCTTCGCTGACAGGAGAGGCACCCGGTGTGGTCTTCTGCTGCTGTAGCACATCTGCCTCAAGGTTGGAGGTGTTGTGCGTTCAGAGATGCTCTCCTGCAAACCTCGATTGTAATGAGTGGTTATTTGAGTTACTGTTGCTCTTTTATTAGTTCGAACCAGTCTAGCCATTCACCTCTGACCTCTGGCATTTGCACTCACAGAACTACCGCTCACTGGATATTTTTTTAGACCATTCTCTGTAAACCCTAGAGATGGATGTGCATGAAAATCCCAAAAGATCAGCAGTTTCTGAAATACTCAGACCAGCTCATCTG